GACAGGAAATTATAAAGTTCAAGGCAGAAATTAACACAATGGACACTAAAAAACAATACAAAGAATTAATGAATCAAAGAGTTGGTTCTTTGAAAGAATAAATAAAATAGATAAACCCCTAGCCAACCTTATCAAAAAGGAAAGAAAGAACTGAAATACACGCAACAAGGAATAAAAGGGGTGAAATCACTACAGATCCTGTAGAAATTCAGAAGATCATCAATACCTACTTTGAAAATCTTTACTCTCATAGGATGGAAAATACAGAGGAAATGGTCAGATTTCTACATACATATGAATTATGAATTACCAAACCTGAATGAAGAAGAAGATATAAAAATCCTGAATAACTCAATATCAGCCAGTGAAATTGAGAATGTAATAAAAAAAACTTGCCAAAGAAGAAAAGTACAGGTCCTGATGGATTCACAGCTGAATTCCACAAGAAATTTAGAGAAACTTTAATGTCAATTCTTCTCAAACTCTTTAATGAAATTGAAAGGGAAGAGGGGCTGGGGATTTAGTTTAGTGGCACAGCATCTGCCTGGCAAGTGCAAGGTCATGAATTTGATTCCTGGTACCGGGAAAAAAAAAAAAAAAAGAAATTGAAAGGGAAGGAATTCTCCCCAACTCATTCCTGGAGGCAAGTATTATCCCAATACCAAAACCAGAGAAAGACCCAACCAAAAAAGAGATCTACAGGCCAATCTCCCTAATGAATATAGAGGCAAAAATTCTCAATAAAATACTACCAAGCAGAATGCAACAAATCATCAAGAAGATTATACATCATGACCAAGTGGGATTCATCTCAAGAATGCAAGGATGGTTCAATACACACAAATCAATTAATGTAATACACCAAATCAACAGAGCCAAAAACAAAAATCACGTGATCATCTCAATCAATGCAGAAAAAGCCTTCGATAAAGTCCAACACTCATTCATGATAAAAACCCTACAGAAAATAGGAACAGATAGTCTTTACCTCAATCTGATCAAAGCCATCTGTGACAAACCAATGGCTAACATCATACTAAATGGTCAAAAACTGAAAGCTTTCACTTTAAAATCAGGAACAAGACAAGGACACACTGTCACCATTCTTATTCAATATACTTCTGGAAATATTAGCTATAGCAATTTGACAAGAGAGAGAAATGAAAGGAATAAGGATAGGACAAGAAGAACTGAAATTATCATTATTTGCAGGTGACATGATACTCTATGTGGAAGACCCCCAAAACTCCATCAAAAGACTAATAGATTTAATAAACAAATTCAGGAACATAGCTGGATACAAAGTCAATACTCAAAAATCAATAGCATTCCTATACACAAACAACAAACAGACTGAGAGAGAAATTAGGGAAACCACACTTTTCACAACAGCATCTAAAAAAAATGAAGTACTTAGGAATCAGTCTAACAAAAGAAGTAAAAGATCTATACAGTGAAAATTACAGTACTCTGAAAAAAGAGATTGAAGAGGATATCAGAAAATGGAAAGATATTCCTTGCTCATGGATAGGAAGAACTAACGTTATGAAAATAGCCATGCCCCTAAAATAGATTCATTACAATCCCAATGAAAATACCATTAGTATACCTCACAGATCTAAAAAAGAAAACATTCCTAAAATCCATCAGGCACCAGAATAGGCCTAAAATAGGAAAAGCAATCCTGGGCAACAAAGGAAAGGCAGGAGGTATTACAATTCTTGACATGAAATTATACTAGAAAGATACTGTGATAAAATCAGTATGGTACTGGCAAAAAAACAGACCTAAAGACCAATGGAACAGATGAGAAGATGCGGACACAACCACAAAGACACTCAGCCACTTTATCTTTGACAAAGGGGCCAGACATGTTCACTGGAAGAAAGATAGCCTCTTTAATAAATGGTGCTGAAAAAATTGGCTTTCCACATGCCAAAAACTAAAACTAGACCCATGTCTTTCACCATGTACTAAACTAAAGTCAAAATGGATCAAAGATCTAAATATTAAAAGAGAAACACTAAATTTATTGGAAGAGAAAGTAGGTAAAAATCTTGACATTGGGGTAGGCAGAGAGTTCGTGAACAAAAGCCAAACTGCACGGGAAATACTTCAGAGAATCAACAACTGGGATCTCATCTTATTGAAAAGTTTCTGCACATGAAAAGAAATCACCAATAGAGTAAAAAGAAAGCCCACAAACTGGGAAAAAATTTTAGACAACTGCCCCTCAGACAAAGGACTGCTATCTAGAACATATAAAGAATTTTTAAAAATCAGGCCCCCCAGATTCAAAAACCCAATCCAAAAATGGGCATCTGAGGTGAATACATACTTCTCAACTCTTGCCAGGTGTGGTGGCTCACACATGTAATCCCAGCACTTGGGAGGCTGAGGCAGGAGGATCAATGTGAGTTTGAGACCAGTGTGGGCTACAAAGTGAGTTCAAGGCCAGTCTGACTTCACAGTTGAGACCCTGTCTCAAAACAAACACACCTTCAGATAAAGAGATACTAATGGCTCATAAAAACATGAGAAAATGTTCAACATCATTAGTCATTTGAGAAATGCAAATTAAAACAACACTGAGGTTCCATCTTACCCCAGAAAGAATGGCTATCATCAAGAAATCTACTAATAATAGATGTTGGAGAGGCTGTGGGGAAAAGGAACTCTTCTCCACTGCTGGTGGGAGTGTAGATTGGTGAAACCACTGTGGAAATCAGTTTGGAAATTCATCACAAAACTAGGATTAGAAGTCCCACTTAACTCAGCTATTCCTCTTCTGGGTATTTTCCCAGAAGAATTAAAAACATCATACCACAGTGATATATGTACACTCATGTTTATAGTAGCACAATTCATCATAACTAAATCTTGGAAACAACCCAAATGCCCATCAATTGAGGAATGGATAAAAAAATGTGATATTTTTATATAATGGAGTATTACTCAGCTATAAAAAAGATTAACTCAAGGCTTTTGTAGGTAAATGGCTGCAACTAGAGACCATACTTATAAGTGAAATAAGTCGGACCCACATGTGTAAACATCACATTGTCTGCTTGGTGTAGGAATCTGAGAGAGTAAGTAAAACTCAAAACATACAATAGATGATCTGAAAAGGAAAGAAATTACTCAAAGAAAGGAACAACTGGGATGAGGGAAAGAAGAAAAAAGAAAGAAGGAAGGTTATATATAGAGAGAGAGAGAGAGAAAGAGAGAGAGAGAGAGCTAGGATAACTGTACTGCTGATATCTGATGGTATATTGATTTTTTTTGTCTTTTTGAGACAAGGTCTCGATATGCAGTTCAGGCTGGACTTGAGTTCACTTTGTAGCCCAGGCTGGCCTCAAACTTGCAGAGATCTTCTTGCCTCAACCTCCCGAGTACTGGAATTACAGGCATGTGCCACCACACCCGGCCTGATGGTATATTGAAAGGAACAGTTAATGCTTAAAACTTTTTATATTTTAACCAATTTTGCATGCTTGTATCTGGTAAATTGAGCAACTGATTTGAAGACAACAATATGCTATGGAACAAGCATTGGTGAATTCCTACCATCTTGTCCAGTGAAACTCTGTATTGTCTCTAATGTTCTATTTAATAATTATTTTTTATTCTCTTTAATTTTTTGAACAATCTTCCATTCTTACAACTGGTAATCTGATCAATGTAGTTAAAGATAACAATATGCAATATACAATCACTGTTAATTCCTGTCATTTTGTTTTGAAGCCCTGTATCGCTTTTAATGTTCTTGCTTTGTTTTGTTTATATCTGTGATGTTGGTATGTTGCTATTGTTTTTTTACTGCTCTTTAAAATAAAAAAACAGAGGTAATATGCACATGTAGTAACACTGACACAACTCAAACGTGGTTGAGTGAAAGAAATATTAAAACACAAAAGTACTATATGATTAAATGTATACATAAATTTAGAAGGACTTATGGAATATTTAGGTGTGGGTACTAGAGGAGAAAAATGAGACTAGTATAAAAAAATAGAGAAACAAAATTTTCATTTTGTTTATTTTATTTGTTTATTTTCCTCTGGTTTTTCAATTGAAAATGGCCTTTGCTTTGTCCAATGAAGGGATTACATGATAAACTTAGGTGTTTCAATGACTTGGTTCTTCTTGCCCTTCAATTAGGACTAAAAGGAATTTTTAAGGCAAAATATATTTTAAGATTTTATTTGAAAACTAGTAATTCAGGTAAAGTACTTAACTTAGTGCTTAGCACATGCTGTGGCAAACTCAATAAACTTTATCTGTTAATGCTACTCATGGCATGGCTAGTACAAATCAACTGAAGTTGGCTCTTAAAACAAATTAGATGTAAACAGCGCCCCTCCTCCGCTGCGAAAACCCCAGTGTATTAAGGCAGAAGAGCCAAAACCTCCTTCCAGGATAGGAAAGGCTTCCATATTGTTTATAGCATCCTAGAAAGTGGTGATGGTTAATTTGGGAAACGATGTATTCGCAAATGTAATGCAAGGTAAGTAGACATTACACAAATAAAAAGTGCTTTGAATCTGGGAGACGTTGCACTTTGCTATACTTCCTCCAAAGGGGTGTTTCCTCTTAATGTCTTAATTTTAAAGCTATAAAATTGCAGTGGAATAATATCCAGCTATGTAGTGTTCGCTTTGAAGTATCCCTCCCCCATCCTTCTTCTCCTTTCTGAAGTGGGATAGAGGTGTTCTGCTGAAATGAGCAAGATCATCACCTAGTGGTCAGTCCCTCAAAGTACTGACAAGATTTCTCCCAGGAGCACAGATGTGCTCAGTCCTTGTACTCACACTATGTTAATTCAATGAACATTGACTGTGAATCTCTGCCAGAGACCATTCTGGGGCCTGGGATATAGAGCTGCTAATGCAAAATGACAAGTTTAAAAATAAAATTAAGGAAGTGTCAATCCAGAAACTGGAGCCCTCTCAAAGTGACATTGTGTTTTAATGTGTTTATTTTCCTCTGGTTTTTCACAGATCATAGATGAAGAAGAAACCCAATTTATGAGTAACTGCCCGGTGGCAGTCACAGAAAGCACCCCCCGGAGGAGAACACGGATCCAGGTGTTTTGGATAGCACCACCAGCAGGAACAGGCTGTGTGATTCTAAAGTAAGTGAACAAAGCTCCCTACAGCACTTTCTGCTCCTTCCCTGAAGTTTATCAAAACCTTCGTGGTATGGTTGCAGAAAGAGATGTGGCTTTACCACAACATTAGACAAATGACATCATCTCTCTGCTTTCCATTAGCTCTGTTCCAAAATGGTACCATGGACCATCATTGGTAGAATGCTACATAAGGAATCATTTGCCTGAATTTATTTACATCCAGTAGGGTGATTCTCCTGGTCACTCTCTCTCTTGCTTGAGATAGTGATGCCCTGGGATAGTTGAGAGAAATTACCAACCAAGTGGAAATAACCTTTAACCTTTCCACTGGAAATAATATTTTTGCATTTCTTAGAACCGCCAACAGCTAGAAACCTTGCTCTGTTCTTAGGCTAACGTGAGGCCCAAATGTAACCTCTCTTAACCAGAGGCTCTGCTTGATGATCCTACCTTCTTCCTGGCCGTCAAGATTGCCCTGTACTGCTGCTTCCTATCTGGTTTCCCAGTCCTACTCTTAGTGAGTAACAATAGGTGATAAGAGGTTGAACAGACAAAAGGGTTTTCCTTTGAAAGGTAAAGTCTCAAACCCATGTCTCTACAACTTTCTATTGCAAAATGTTGCTTGAAATGTAAACAGATGAGGAGGAAAGCAATTTCTTTGGTCAAACCCTTCTTGGACACTCATAGTACATGTTGGCATTTTGGATGTTTTGTGAAGTCTTAGCAAAAAAAAAAAAAAAAAGAAAGAAAAGAAATCTATTTAACTTGATTTCACCAGCATCTCCCAAACCTAACTTGACCATAAATCTCCTTTTCTTTTTCCTTTTTGTAGTGACATCAATTAACATTCACCAGATTGGAAAACACAGCCATAATCTATTTTAAGTAGATTTAAAGACCCATAGGGAACAATGCTGCAAATTTTAGGCTCTCAGATAGGCACATAATCATGATTGGATGGCGGGGCTCCAATCCTAGCATCCAATAAGTCATTTCTTCATAGAAGTGAGAATTGGGGCCTTCTTTGACTACCCTAAGGCCTTATCTATGTATTTGGTCCATTTGCCAAATGCAGACATCTCAGCACAGTTAAAACTGTGATTAATCCAGCTCGCCCCGCGGAGATGCTGATAAGAGAACCTCCCGCTGTGGCGGCCCAGTCCCTGGAGTTCCTAGAAACCGCTTGGAATAAAGCCCCACAGAGGTCTCTTGCAGTGTCTGTCCATCGTCCAGACTCTGCCCTGTTTTTTGTCTGGCCTCCCTTTGCTGCCGACTGTCTGGATAGCATTCGTTTCTTTCTTAGTTTAATGCAAGCTGAGCATCTTTCCTCAGATTCTTTGCAAAGTTTGATTCTTGGCCTTAATCTATGTTGCTGATTTCTTTTTAAAAAACAGTAGAATTGTTTTTAAATCTTATCAGTAAACTACAATATAAAACATGCATCTGATATCTGGTTGCACTTCTGAGGAAGGCCTCGGGGAAATGAGGAAAGACCGCTGGTAACAGAAGCTGTGTATTCAGAGCTTGCTTTATAACCACGGAGTCTTCTGCAGTCTCTGACGTTTGGCATGCAGAGGAATGGGAAAGCCTTGTCAGTGGCAAGAAGGGAAGGCTTTAGGTCTGTGTGATGGGAAGTTGCTGGCATGGGGAAGCTGGAAGCAGACTAATGCAAAGTGGCACATCTCACATGATGAGTATGGAAGATATATTTGACTTTCCTGAGTTGAAAGCAATGCGGGCAAAAATAAAAAAGCTGGTAATCATTGATCAATTCTTGATGTTCTGGGCTGATTTCTGCAGAGGCCTGGGGCTCACCAATACCCAAACCCCCAGGACTCGGTAGGCCAAACACTCTGCCATGTGTGGGGCTCCAAAGAAGGTAGTTTGCAGACTGACCCACGTCTCTGGTTTTCTTTGATTTTTTATTCACCCAAACTGGAATAATTTGATCTCCCTGGTAGAATCCAGAAATGCATCTCTTGTTTACTCACTGATGATCAGCATATGTGAACATATATTTATTCATTAACAATTAACTATGTGGCTTGTTCATTTGCTCATTCAACAGATGACACTGAGCTTCCATTTGCCTAGTCATCTGGAATATCCCACCAGCCTAAGTATGTTTTTAGCCCTGAAATTCTCACAAGTCAAATGGGAGAGAGAGAAAAAATTAGCCAATTCTCTCTATGGACCAGGAGCTCAACTGCCCCTCTAGCTGACTTTGTCTAATCTGAGTTTCACACCAAACTCCATTTTACAGAGAAGAAGACAGGCCCAGGGAATTAGGCAGATATCTGAAGTTACACATATATTTAAATCGAAAGTCTTTGTTCTTCCTTTCTTTTTTCTGAAAGGATTATATAGAAACTACTACTGTTCGTTAAGAGAATAATGATTTTATAAATAAGACAAATACATTCACATTGTAAAGTGTCAAATACAAAAAATAATGAAATACAGAAAAATGTAGAATACAGAAAAAGTAAAAGAACCCCTGAAAACTTCTCCAATAAATCCCAGTTTCCTATACAAAGGCAGCAATAGATATCAATTTGTGCTGTATGCTTTAAACTTTTTATCCATGCATTTATACTCATAAGGAGAAACATTAAAATGATGGTTTCATTTTTGTGAGAATTTAAGAATGCACATAGTATTGCGGTATACATAATGTCCCAAACTTGAGCAGTCTTTCACTCAATAAAACATTTTAAAGATTTGTTCTGATCAATATATATAGTTCTACCTGTTTTTTTAAGCTATTAAATATAATCTGTAGTATGAATGTTAAGTGTCCCACGGTTGAGGGACAATTAAACTCTTTCCAGTTTTTAACTATTACAAATAATGCTATGATGAACATCCTAGCTTATTCTTGTTTGAGCAAATATGTACGGTTTATCCACAGTAGATGCCCCAAAAAAGGGATCACAAAGGACACACACCACCAGATTTTCCTTCAAAAGGCTTGCCAATTTAAACACTCTCTCTAGCTACAAACGAAAAATTTGTTTGCTTCCTGATTAAATAGCCCATTGTGTCACCAAGCTTTAAGACTCTGCCAATCTGATAGTTTAAAATGATTATCTTATGTCTATTTACATTTTCCTGATTACTAGTATATTATGAATCTTTTCATATAGTATTTATTCCATTTGTATTACTCCCTCTGAGAATGGCCTGTTAATACTCTTATCCATTTTTCTAATGTATCTTTTTAAAGTTGATTTTATATTTTAAAAATATAACTATTGATGTATATTTATATATGTAATGTACTGTATTTATATTTAAACTTATAAAATATATCATTTTATTTAAAATAAGTGCATATTTAAAATTCATCTCTATATAGCCCAGATAACATTTTATTATAAATTTCAAATATTTCTTTCCTCCATTCTGTTAACTTTGTTCATGAGTGTCTAATCATCCAAAAGCTTGAAGTTTTGATTTAACCAAAGGTATACATCTTTTGCTTTGTAAATTTTAATCTTGTATGTGATCAAAAATTATTTTCTTATACCCAAGGCTATAACTATATTCCTGTACTTTTAGGATTTTAAAAAAGAAATCTAGGGTCTTTAGTCTTCCCATAATTTAATCTTGTGAATGATGTGGTATCAGCAAACCCCAACGGGAAGTAGATGGCATGTTCAAAATGAGGTACCGAAGGAGGGTTGAAAAGGAGGTCTGTTGTCAAGGGAGTGGGCAAATTAATAGTGAGGGCGCTGTATAACACCCAGGCCCGGATGGGTACCAAGAAGAATGTAGAGGATGGGATGAAGGCCCCTCCCTTCCAGCAGCCAAGACCTTAGGCTTAGTGAAGCGGCTAGCTTGAGGACCCCAGGCCCCACCCCTGTCACTGTTCCCCTTGGATTCTGCCCTTTGGCCTGGCCCCACCCATGAAGTTCATGGCAGCCCTGATATAGTCAGTGTGGGGTATCTGCTCCGGCAAAGACTGGGACACAAACAGGTGAGCAGGTATCTAAAGGAGCAAAGCAAAGATAAGCCAGTGGGAAATGGGAATCTACGACCTTTCCAAAAATGGATACTTGTCCTACATCTATTTGTCAAATAGTTTATCCTTTTCCCAGTTGCTTGAAATGCTGTTTCATTAAATACAATTTGTGTGGGGGGGGGGTGGGATTCTTGGATGGAATTTAGGGCCTTAGCACCAAGCTACGTCCTCAGCCTTATTCTTGTTTTTATTTTGAGACAGGGTCTCACTAAGTTGCTGAAACTTGGGCTGAAACTTGCAATCTCCATGCCTCAGCCTCCCAGAGTGCTGGGATTTCAACCATGCACCAAAACCACAAAATTTTCATGTAGCTCTGTTCTATTCTGTTGATCTTTGTATCTATTCCTTCATGATGTCTGCACCGCTTAATAGCATAATTTGATGCTTTGATAACCCATCATCACTCATTAATCTTTGGTTTAAAATGTCCTCCATCATTCAAGCAGGTTTGTAATTCTAGGTGAATCACAGAATAAGTTTCTTGTGTTCAATAAAACCCTAGATTGGGATTTTAAATGATGTTACAGTGAATTAATAGTTTGATATAGGAAAAATCAGCATATGTATCATATGTATTTCTGGTAAAAAGTGTGGTCTAGCTCTATTCAGGTCTTTTCTGTCCTCAGAAAGTTTTTTAATTTTTCTTCATTTACATTCTTCATTCTTGCAAGGCTTTCCCCTCTAGGTGATTTATGGCTTTGTGTTCTTTGTGAATCAAACTTATTTTCCTCTTCTGTGCTCTAATAGTTTAGGAAAACTATTGACTTTTGTACCTGAAGTTTCAATCTGGACAGTGCTAACCTGTGATAGTTCTGATGGCTTGTTCCTCTGTTCTTTGATGATTATTGATGTAATGGTCACATCTAAAATCATATATATACTTTTTGTTTCTTTATATTTTATTATCTGGCACCTCTAATGTACTAGATATTGATATTTATGCTTACTCTTGATTTTAATGGGAATATACTATATTTTA